ATTGCTATAAATTGTCCTCTGAGGACTGCCTTTGCTGTGTCCCAAAGGTTTTGGTATGATGTGTTTTCATTCTCATTTGATTCTAGAAATGTTTTTATTCCATCTCTGATTTCTTCTATTACCCAGTGATGTGTAAGCAGGGTATTATTCAGTTTCCATGTAACTGATTTAAAAGTCTCTTTAATATAAAGAATCTGTGGAGCTGTACGTTATTGAGACACACGGCTAGACTAAGTCACCAACACGATCAGATCAACTTACCTTTGCTGTAAGTTGAAGAACTTTCCTTCCTACTCAGCTTAAGATACAATTTGCTTTTAGGTTCATCATAAAATTCAGGATTTACAGTAGTAAACTTTTTTAGTTTGCCATACCGTTTTCCCTGAAAATTGTATCCTTTTCTGTAAAATAAAGTAAAAAACAAAAATAAATTTGAATGTTAAGGTACTGTTTTTTTAATCTTTAGAGTACAGTTTGAAAGGGAAGAACACAGTATGTGTATGTGTATATACTTTAATAGACACATACAAAATATAAATATACTCTCTCTGTCAAAGAAAATAGTAGCAACCTTCACAAAATTCTCATCAGTTTTAAAAGAGATTAAGATAGGCAAAGTATCTAAAAGATTGGGTACTTTAATTTCTATAACTATAAAATGGGGATAATTTATCCCATTATCTCTATAGTTTATAGACTTACTCTGATAATTAAAATCAAATAATACATGTAAAGTACTTAGAAGAGTATCTGGCAGTCAAGAAATGCTATTATTATTCAATTATCATGCAAATGGTCATTATATTTAATCTTTGGATAATTCCACTTTTACAACAGACCTGTTTCCAAAAAGTAGCATTCTATTATCTTATAAGCTATGTAGTTCAGGCTTGTGAATGACCACTTACCTATTATTCTGCACTGCTAAATTATTCCTGTGGTTTGTTGAGTAAGTTTTTCCTTAAGATTGTGAAAGAATAGCCCTGACTATACATAAAAATTGTTAGGAAAATAGCATTCCTGCCAATTATCCTAATATTGCTGATGCTGCTTGATGTTTAGAGGGGGCCAAAAATAGATTTAAATAGTCCTTTGCAAGACCATGTGTCTTAGTTATCTAGTGCTGCTATAACAGAAATACCACAAATGGATGGCTTTAACAAAGAGAAAATTATTCTCTCACAGTCTAGTAGGCTACAGTCCAAATTCAGGGCATCAGCTCCAGGAGAAGGCTTTCTCTCTCTGTCAGCTCTGGAGGAAGGTCCTTGTGATGCATCAGTCTTCCCTTGGTCTGGGAGCATCTCAGTGTAGAAACCTCAGGTCCAAAGGACACGCTCTGCTCCCGGCACTACTTTCTTGGTGGTATGAGGTTTCCATGTGTCTCTGCTCGCTTCTCTCTTTTATATCTCAAAAGAGATGGGCTTAAGACACTATCTAATCTTGTAAACCTCATCAGTATAATTGCCACTAATCCATCTTATTAGATCATAGTGATAGAGTTTACAACACATAAGGAAATCACATCAGATTATGGAATGGTACGCAATCATACAATACTGGGAATCGTGACCCAGGCAAGTTGACAGACATTTTTGGGGGACACAATTCAATCCATGACACCATGGTAGACAGTCTTGGGAGAACTACATTGAGATTTGGCCTAAACTGATCTAATTATAGGCAATTATTTGATACCACAAAACATACCTCACCAAAAGCTGGCATTCCTCATACAGTGGTATCTTTTGACTTCTTAAATATAAGCCAATACTCTTTATATCACTTAAAACCATGCTGGGTCGAGATTCTGCTTGTGTTGAATATCCTGGAGACACTTCTTCAAGCCACTTGAAAAATTTACATCGGTCAGCTTTGGGTCCATCACAGGCATAAAAGAGACGACCCTAACAGGAAAAAAAAAGATATTAAAATTTAGTGAAAAAAATGTTTTCATTTTTCTACTGTTTTGTATTATGTCTGGCAAGGTTTCTATAAATATTGCTTGGCATTTATGTACTACAGTAAATTAGTCACCATACAACTTACTTTTATAATTAGACAATAAAAATTAAAGCTACTGTCTTAGTCATCTAGTACTGCTATAACAGAAATACTCCAGGTCGATGGCTTTAACAAAGAGAAGTTTATTCTCTCACAGTCTAGTAGGCTACAAGTCCAAATTTAAGGCATCAGCTCCAGGGGAACGCTCTGTCTCTCTGTCAGCTCTGGAGGAAGGTCCTTGTGATGCATCAGTCTTCCCTTGGTCTGGGAGCATCTCAGCACAGGAACCTCACAGCCAAAGGACACGCTCTGCTCCCGGCACTGCTTTTTTGGTGGTATGAGGTCCCCATGTCTCTCTGCTTGCTTCTCTCTTTTATATCTCAAAAGAGACTGACTTATGACACTATCTAATCTTGTAGATCTCATCAGTATAACTGTTGCTAATCCATCTTATTACATCATCGTGATAGGATTTACAACACATAGGGAAATCACATCAGATGACAAAATGGTAGACAATCATACAATATTGGGAATCACGACCTAGCCAAGTTGACAGATATTTTTGGGAAGCACAATTCAATCCATGGCAGCCACTTACTTTATTTTCTCTTTTAAAAAAACTACATTTCAAGAGAAAGTTACGTTACTTGAAAAATAAAATTTATTGTCTTTATGATTAAAACTGTTCACTATAGATAACCTTAAGGCCACTCAGAGACAACTAAGCAACATCTTATGTATTTCTTTCCAGTCTTTTTTTCTCACAAAAGTACACTAGCACACATGCTGGAGAGGATACACACATGCATACTGTTTTCTTATTTTTAAACAAAACTCAGATAATAATACATTTTATACTCTGTAACCTAACCCCTACACCCAATAACGTATTGTGAGCATGCAACCATGTCATCAGATAATCTTAAAAAGAAAAAAGAAAGTCTTTTAGCAGCTATGTAATATTTTATTCTATGGTTACACTATAAATTATGAATTCTTGCTTTGACAACTAAATTTAGATCGCAATTGACACACTCAACTAATGATGAATTACATAAACAAGTGGGATATGCAAACAGTGGAGGAAAACCGTATTATTACATGTGAAAGTGTAGTCTTATAAATGAGTACAAACCATCGATTAACAAACATTTTACCAACGTGACTTCTTCCACAACAATATGTTATCAGCAATATAAATTAAATGGCTGTGCTTCTATTCCTCTGGCCTTATCTGTAACTTGTACTGAGGATTACATAAGCAGACTAGTTTCAACCTTCACTTCCTATCTTATCAATTACGGTATTATATAAAATTTTCTGTTATGTATCTATCTGTCTCCATACACTACTATACAGTAAGCTCCTAAGCAACATGAAGGTTGATCTTTTTTAATTGTTGTTGAAAATATACACACAAAACACACACCAATTCAACAATTTCTACATGTGTAATTCAGGGACATTGATTACATTCTTCAAATTGTGCGGCCATTCTCACCCTCCTTTTCTGATTTGTTCCTCCCCTATTAACATAAACTCACTTCCCCCTAACCTAACTTTTTGATTTGCTGTTATCATTTTGATCCCATATAGATAGTTCTTTAAATGCTTACAGCAGATATTCTTTACTAATTAAGCTAGACTACTACGTGGTTTAAAGAAGGCTTCAGAAGATATTTTTGGTTTACGGTTTCAGGTTTAAAGATTATCTTGGGGCAATATTTTCAGAGGTTCACTGAGCCTCAATGGCTCCAGAAAATCTGGATTCTATGAGAATTTGAAATTTTGTCCTGTATTTTCCCCTTTTTGATCAGGACTCTTCTATAGACTCTTGGATCAAAATGTTCAGTAATGATAGCCAGGTACCATCCAACTCTGGTCTCATGGCAAAGGAGGCAGTTGTTCATGGAGGCAATCAGCTAGCATTCCACTTCCTCCTTTTATTCCTGAATCTTCTTCCTCTGTTGCTCCAGGTGAATAGAGACCAATTACTGTACCTTGAATGGTTGCTTGCAAGCTTTTAAGACCTCAGACACTACACAACAAACTAGCAGGTAAAACAGAAGCGCTAAAAGCAATATTATGTCAGTTAACTGGGACGTCCCAGGAGATCATGACCCTAAACCCCCAATCCAAGAAACCAAATCCCATGAGGTGTATGGTTGTACATAAACGGGCTCAGTAGCTACTCTTCTTCTTTCTCTTCTTCCTTTTGTTGTTGTTGTAAAAAATATATATAACACACAACACTTCTCAATTCAACAAATTACAGGTGTACAACTTAGTGACATCAATTACACCAATCACCTATGCAACCATTAGCCTTAATCAATGCAATTTTTCCATCACCATGAACAGAAACTCAGTGATCTGTTAGCATTAACTCCTCCTTTCCCCCTCTCTCCCACCCCAGGTATAATCTTTGATCTCTATACATTTGCCTGTTCTTGTCTTTTTATACAAGTGAAGTCATATGATATTTGTTCCTTTGTGATTGATGTATATCACTAAACACAACATCTTCAAGCTCTATCAATGCTGTAGCATGTATAAGGACTTCATTTCTCTTTCTGGCTGAGTAGTATTCCATTGTATGTATGTACCACATTGAAGGCTGATCTTAACTCATATTTTTGTATCATAGAACAGATCCTTCATTCTTTCAATAAAAATTTATTCAGAGTTTACTATATATTAAGTACTAATGCCTCAAAAGGAAGGCTCCAAATCAAGACTCACTCTTTAGGGAAGCTAGATCAATGGAAACAGAACAAACAGAATGGAAATAATGAGAACACTGACACACTGTGAAAACTGTAACCAATGTCATGGAACAATCTGTATAAAAATTGTTAAATAGGAACCTAATTTGCTGTGTAAACTTTCACCTAAAACACAATAAAATATTATTTAAAAAAAGACTCACTCTTTAAGTTTGTCATAAGGCAAAAGGCACTTATACTTTTTATAAGACAATATTTGGTGGAGTGGATGGAGGGGAGAGGAACAATACCTTATTTGGACCTTCTTTTTTAACCATGACAAGTTTTGCAGGTTGATGATGATGGCAGGATGGCACATTATTTTCTACATTTTTTTGTTTCTCTTCTTTTGAAGATGTGTAAAATGATATGTCAACTTTTGAAAGAGCTTTGTACAACCTTTGTGACAACACAAACAGCAATATATTTAGATGTTCTACAAAAAAAAATACAAACATTTTATGCTTGTAACATGTGTTGGTTGTTAACTTAATTTGAAAACAGCTTTTTAACAGAGTCAACTATAACATTATATTACTATTCACTTTTAAAAGCAGAGTTTTGCCCTTGTACCGCAAAACAAATTATCAAAACTAATCATCCAAGTACTAGAGGAGAAGGAACAGGGACTGACTACTTAATGAGCACAGGTTTTCTCGGGGTGGGGGGGTATTATGAATTGAACTATGTCCCCCAAAAAGATGTTCCCTGGTGGTGCAGTGGTTAAGCACTCAGCTACTAACCAAAAGGTTGGTGGTTCAAACCCACCAGTTGCTCTGTGGAAGAAAGATGTGACAGTCAGCTTCCATAAAGATTACAGTCTTGGAAATCCTGTGGGGTAGTTCTGCTCTGTACTATATGGTTGCTATGAGTCAGAATCGTCATGACAGCAATGGGTTTAATGGGTTTGATTATGAATTGAATTATGTCCCATTCCAGAGTAGGGTGGGTCCAAGTCGTAATCCTTTCTAAGAGATATAAAAGGGGAGAACAGATATGAAAAGAGAGTCACATATACAGGGGAAAGACGCTACGTGACATTGGAGGCAAATGCCTCAATAATTAGCAAAGTAATGCCAAGGATTGTTAACAGTCACCAGAAATCAGGAGACAGTCATGGAATAGTTCCTCTCTCAAAGCCCGCAGAAGGAAACAACATGGCCAATATTCTGGCTTGGACTTCCAGCCTCCAGAATTGTGAGAAAATAATTTCTGTTCTTTAAAGCCACCCACTTGTGGTATTTTGTTATGGCAGCCCTAGGAAACTAAGGCAATGAAAATGTTTTGGAATTAGATAGAGGTGGTGCTTGCATAACAGTGTGAACATACTAGGTATCACTGAATTGTATACTTGAAATGGTCTTTACATGAATTTCACCTAGTAAAAAACAAAATAAACAAAAAAACCCAATCATTTATCATATTTAAATTTTTCCACTTAAACAAAGCCATTTGTAACACTTCCAGTTTAAAAAAAAAACGAAAAATACTGTAACTTTAAGAATACTGTCATTTCCTACTTTTAAAACTCAATTATGATCTGAGATTAGAATAGAAGTTATTGTCATAAACTGGAGCAAACATATGTAAAATAACAAGTCCCAACTGGAAGATTGAATATGAAAATTCACAATATATACTTTTTCACAGCTACACTACTTATATGAAGCAGTAATCAATCAAAATAAAAAGATAATAGCCATACCTATGAGACAAGATGTAAAAATCTGCTTATAATGAGCAGGAGACTGAAAAACAGCTGGTATGTGAATTTGCCTTTGGGGAAGATAAGCAGATTTTATTTCCTGCCCACTTGGGAATGATAGCTCGGAGGCATTTATCTCCTGAAAAGGAATAATTCAAGTAATTATAACAACTCCAGAAAAATACTGTTTACTCATAAGTAAATTATTTTCTATAGACATGTTTAGTAAAATACACTAAATTTTCTGGTTTTCTAGAATCCTTGACAATCACTTTCTAATTTCAAACGAGAAACCAAGTACTGCAAGAATGACTATGCATAGTACTTTTAATCCTAAAGGAGATTATCTTCTCTTATCTTTCCCTCACTAAGTTTTTAAATATTTTCTGCTATAAAAAACTTAACTGATGTGAATGGATCATTATGTTTCTCTACTTCTGGTTATGATCATAATAAGAACTACTCTCAACCATGTGTAATAAGACGTCCTTAACCCTACTAATTATCTGATCAGCAAAACTGAGCTGATAGTGAAAAATGAAAACAATCATAGTAGTATTAGTAGTAGTAGTAGAAGTACTAGTAGAAATAGGCATAGGAGATATAATTTATTAAGTATCTATTATGTACCAGATGCTGTACCAAATACTTTCAGATATATAATTTCATTTAATGCTCACAACTACTAGGAAAGATTTTAAGTTAAAGGAAATGATGTGACTTGTAGCTAGAGTTCTGGGTCAAAAAAAAGGCATCTGCTCCAAGAGTAAAATCATTGCTCCTATACTATTTTGGTAATTCTTTTGTTGAAATTCAGACAGTAACTATTAGAAAAAATGCACCATGAGACACTGGCACATTTCCTCACCTGTACATGTCCTGTTACACTGCAGTTGTAGCAGGCAGACTCTCCTAACACATTCTGAATTTCTTCAGTCTTGGAAGTCTGTTCTAGATTCAGAGAAAGTGCTGTCTCTCTGGAAACCAAATCCTGACTGCTAAAATCCTGCTGCTGTCGATAGAGCGCACCTTTTATCATTTGCAAATGCACAGAGTCTAAAGGGCTTTTATTCATAACATCGCTCTGCCTTTCGCCTGTGTCACTGAAACGCATCCCAGAAACAGCCTCGGCAAAGAAGCCATCTCTCACTTTCTTATCAATTTTGTCTGAAGTAGTCAAGTTGCACTGGGGTGTGTTCTGATATTTCAGCCACTTGCTTTTGGTAGATATATTATTGAGAAGTGAAAGACCCCCTGGGGTCTCTTCCCCAGAGTCTTCAAAGAAAAAAGTTTCACTTTGGTCCTCAGACTCAAAGTTAAAAGATAGAAATGCTGACTCTTCACACAGGTTGAATATAGGGGAACCAGAGGACTCCTGCATGCCACAGTTGATCACATATGAGCAAGAATCTGAGTCAGGTGGCCCATCAGCAGGTGGCAAAGTAATAAGTGGAACTCGTGTTCTACTTACTAATGGAAGCCTTTGAAGGTTCTTCTTCTCCAGAGAAATGGGTCTTTTCATTCCTGAAAGAAAACAGAATGCTGATTAAATAAAAATGTACTATCAGTCAGTACCCAGGCTCTAGAAAACATTGTACATATACAGAAGCAAAAGATATCAATTTGTCCTGAAAAAAAAATCACATAATTTTATATGCACTTTAAAAAAAATTAATGGTTTTAATCTCAAAAAATTATAGATTTCAAAGCTTAACTCACAGACACTGAAACTTTTTCAAGGCTGATAAACCTGAAGACCTTCTTTTGTTCTTTTCCACCTTAACTAAGGATTTTCTCCACTAATTGCTTCATTATATTTATGTAGCACTTAACATTTCAAAGCACTTTAAAGCCCAGAAAGGTTTCATTGTTCTCATTTTACAGATGAGATTACCAAGGCCTAGAGGTAACATGACAACCAACTGGCAGAGTCAAGATCCAGAACTAGTGTTTTGTTCTCTATACTCCTTCTCCTGAGACTGAAATGTATGGTTCATTTATATGACTATGTGTTTGTAACTTCCTTTATATATTTATTACACTTTATTAATTAATGTGTTGACTTTCAGAGCAAAGGAGATTTTATCTGAAAGAGTTTTACAATTCCTCTGTCGCAACTTTAATAATAAATATATCCCTAAAAATGTAAAATACTATCACAAATTGAAATTCATTTAAAAGGAATGTAATTCCATCACTATGGTTTCTGTAAGAAAGTGAGAAAACTTGTCTGATGGAAAATAGATATTTTTTTCTTTCTGCTCTCCCTTTAATTCTTTATATGACTTTGGGAAAGTCAAATGACTTCTCTAGATTTGCTTCCTCATCTATAAAATGGGATTAATAATAACTGACCTATATACTTCATGGAGTTATTATGTGAGAAATAAGACAACTGATATGAAAAGTACTTTCCGTAATTAAAAATTCTACATAAATATAAGGCATTGTAACAAACATATATTCAGGTCAGCCACCTTCTGAAACAAGAACTTACTGCTACAGTTGTAATGAATTTGAATGATCTCCATCTAACTGCCAGTATTCTTTGAAATACCCAATTCTACACAATGGTAAAATACACAATATGCAATTTTTAGATAACTATACTATTTTATATACCAAAAACCAAACCAGTTGCTGTCGAGTCGATTCCGACTCCTCGTGACCGTACAGGACAGAGTAGAACTACCCCACAGAATTTCCAAGGAGCGGCTGGTAGATTTGAACTGTTGACCTTTTGGTTAGCAGCCTAGCTCTTAAACACTGTGCCACTAGGGCTTCATGATTTTATATAGTTCTCTCAATGTCCAAAACTCAACCCTTGATCCTTTCCCCCCAAAAAATTCTTCTTATCCATCTTAATGTAACAGATCCTTACCAAACCCACTGCCGTCAAGCCGATTCCGACTCATAGTGACCCTACTGGGCAGAGTAGAACTGTCCTATTGGGTTTCCAAGGAGTGGCTGGTGGATTTGAACTGCCGACCTTTTGGTTAGCAGCCGTAGCTCTTAATCATTGCACCACCAGGGCTCCGCCCAGATCCTTGCAGTCATCCTCAATTCCTTTTTTCCCTCACATCCCACATTCAATCCATCAGCAAATCCTTTAGCTCTATCCTTGAAATATATCTAGAGAAAAAGACACCACAAGAAAAGGTAACTACAGACCAATAGCCCTTATCAATAGAGATGCAAAAATCCTGAACAAAATACTAGCAAACCAAACTCAACAGCAAATTAAAAGGAATACACACGTGGCCAAGTGGATTTATCCCAGAAATGTAAGCGCGGTTCAACGTAAGAAAATCAATCAGTGTAATACACCAGATTAATAGAATGAAGGAAAAGAATCACATGATCATTTTAATTGGCACAGAAAAGGCATTTGACAAAATTAAACACAGCTTCATGTTAAAAACACTCACTGAAATAGGAATAGAAGAGAAATTCCTCAACATGATAAAGGGCATTTATGAAAAACCCATCACACTCAATGGAGAAAGACTGAAAGCTTTCCCCTTTTCCCATTAAGATCGGGAACAAGACAATAATAAGTCGCTTTCATCACTGCTGTTCAATATTGTAATGGGCGTCTAGCCACAGCAATTAGGCAAGAAAAAGAAATAAAAAGCATCCAAATCAAAAGGATGAAGTAAAATGAACGATTTTTATTCACAGATAATGTAATCATATACGTAGAAAACCCCAAAGATTCCACAAGAAAGCTATTAGAGATAATAAGTGAATTTATCAAAGTTGCAGGGTACAAGATCAACACACAAAAATCAGTGATGTTTCTATACACCAACAACAAACAATATGAAAAGGAAATTAAGAAAACAATTCCATTATAATATCTAAATGAATAAAGTATCTATGAATTAATTTAACCAGGGAGGTGAAAGACTTGTATTCTGAAAACTATAAAACATTGCTGAAAGAAATTAAAGAAGACCTTAATAAATGAAAACATATCCTGTGTTCAAGGGATTGGAAGACTTAATATTGTTAAGGTGTCAATACTATCCAAAGCAATCTACACATTCAATGCAATCTCTATCGAAATTCCACTCCTCTCCAGCTGTTCTTCGAACATGCGAAGTATGTTCCCAATTCAGTTGCACTTGATGTCCCCTCTACTTGGATTGCTCTTCTGCAGACTTCCTCCTTCACCTCCTTTAGGTCTTTGCTTTAAGGTCATCTTATCAGCGAGAATTACCCTGACCACCTTATAGACAAAAAAAAAAACTGCAAACCAGTTGCCGTCAAGTTGATTCCAACTCGTGGTGACCCTGTGTGTGTCAGAGTAGAACTGTGATACACAGCATTTTCAATGGTTGATTTTTCAGAAGTAGATCACCAGGTCTTTCTTCCAAGGCACCTCTGGATGGCCTCAACCTCCAATCTTTTGATCAGCAGCTGAGCATTAACCATTTAAACAACTAGGGACTCCATAAATACAGCAACCCCTCCATACTGTAATTATCTTTCCTCTTATTTTGCTTTGTTCTTTTTCATAACATTTACCAATACCTGACATATTTATCTGCTTACTGCTTGTCTCTCCCATATTAATGAAAGCTCTCTAAAGGGATTTTTGTATATTTTATTCACTGTTGTACCCCCTAGTACTTATGACACTGTGTAGCAGACAGCAATAAATACTGTTTAATAAGTAAATGAATAAATAATATAGCATGGGAACTAGCAAAGATGCCAATAATGCTTAAAGTTTTTATCTGACAATCCTATGGCTTCCTATTTTATAATAATGTACCTTCCTGACAGAGTTATTAGAAATAAACTCGAGATCATTTGTGAAGTAGCAGAATAGCAGATGAGCCAATGAATATTCTTTTAAAAAGTATTAAGTTACGCTGTAACTCTAAATCAAAAAACAATGACCAAAAAAAAAAAGTTAAAACCTCATTAAAGAAGTAAAACCTTCATGGAATAACTGAAAATCATCTATTATTCCACTGTCACTTCATTTGTTTTAGAATACCCACTCCTCCCATACTGACTCTCCCATTTTTCTCCTCCTTACCTTCCTGCTTTCCACCAACCACATCCACTAAACCTTCTCCAATCCAACTACCCATTCACATTACAAAGTTGTTTTTTTTTTACAATATCCACCCATGTAGTATTGCCTACAATTTTGTCCCTCACCCAACATAACTTCAGAATCAGTGAAAGATACACTAATGAGATGATGAGAGAGGAAAAGAAAGCAGAAGGGATGCTACAGAATAGTTTATACTTATTAAAGCAGGAAATGAATATAAGGGAAGAGCCAAATTGTATGAAAACACGAAGGTTTGAGAGTGGCCACGGTGGCAGGAGCAGCTTAAGAGTTTCCTAATACTGCTAGGATCAGTAAACAAAAAAGGGGAAGAAACTAAGAGGTTATGTTAAGTTCAACCAATGGCATGAATAGGATATTCACAATGAGCCATTCCCCTGGGAGAGACGAAGCTCTAGAGTTACAGCTGTGAGAAGTATTGACAATGGTATAAGATACTTTCAGAGGTCTGTGATGACAAAAGTTGAGGGGGCGAAATAAGAAGGAACTAGAGAGCTAGAAGGAATCCCTGGGTGGTGTACACGGTTAACACGTTCAGCTGCTAACAGAAAGGTTGGAGGTTCAAGTCCACCCAAAAGCTTGTTAGAAGAAAGCCCTGGCAAACTACTTCTGAAAAGTCAGCTATTGAAAACCCTATGGAGCACAGTTCTACTCTGATACAAAAGGGGTCACCATGAGTAAGTACTGACTCTACAGCAACTGGTTTACTGGTTTAGAGAGCTAAAAGGGAGTGCTGTATTTGGAAGTAATAGCTATCTGTACTAGAAAAAGTCAAAAGACAGAAAGGGTTTGAGAAAGCTTTCAGGGGATATGACATTGAATCTAGTTCCAAAGTATTTTTAGTTCAGTAACAATCTCTCAAATAAAAACTTCATTTTATAGGGACAGGTAATAAAGCAATATGGTAACAACTATCCGCCAAGTTGAGAAAGTGAAAATCACCAAGAAAAGTTCTTGCTTTCAGGGACTCCTCGGAGAATTCTAGCATGAAATCTTCATCTCTTGAGGTCAAAGAAAAAGTAGAAACAGGACTTGATGTAGAGATCTTTTGTTCTGGTGATGTCACCTATCCAAAAAGAAATTATTGCTTAAGGGAGGATCATAAGAAACAAAATTATAAACTAAAGTCTTATTTTTTTCTGTATAGTCTGAATGAATTCTAGTTATCTACATTATAAAAATTATTATTTCAAACACATTATATAGTGCTACAATAGGGGCAAAGAACTTCACATCTTTGAAGAAGGGCAAAGTAAACTCACTTTCCCTTTCACTCACTACAATCCAGCCACCTTGACCTTCTTTCGCTTTCTTAAATCTACTTTTTTCACCTCGGTATTTACACTTTTTTCTCCTCGGTATTTACACTTGCTATTTTTTTTGCCTGCTCTGGTCTTGACCTTACTTTCGCTGTCGGTGAAGAAGGTTTCCCTAATCATCCATTCTAAACTAGATTCCTCCTATAATTCAGAGCACTTTTACAGCTTTTTCTAAATAACAATGAATTCTATTTGTTCTCGATTAACATCTCTCCCCTGCTGGTCTCTAAAGTATTTAATAGGACAGTGATGTTGTGCTCATCTTAGTTTTAAGATGTCTTACAAGTTCCTAACATACTGAAGGCATTCAATAAACATCTGTTGAATTTCTGTTTATTCATGAATTTATATCTCACAGTAAAATTCATAGTTTATTTATTTCATATATGTCCTGCACATTTCTAATTAAGATTATGCCTTGACTTTTTACATCATTTGCTACTATTCCTGGGACTCTTTTTCTATTATATTATGTAACTGGTTTATTTTTATTTACTTATATTAATATTATTCTTTTTTATTATTTAATTGATGCAATTTTTTTATTGTACTTTGGATGAAGGTTTACAAAGCAAATTTGTTTCTCATTAAACAATTAATACACATATTGTTTTGTGACTTCGGTTGCCAACCCGACGACTTGTCAACACTCTCCCCTTCCTGACCTTGGGTTCCCCATTACCAGCTCTCCTGTCCCCTCCTGCCTTCTTGTCCTTGCCCCTGAGCTGGTGTGTCCATTTAGTTTCCTTTTGTTTTATGGGCCTGTCTAATCTTTGGCTGAGGGTGAACCTTAGGAGTGACTTCAGTACTGAGTTAAAAGGGTAAGGGTGTCCGGGGGCCGTACTCTCCCTCTCTAACTGGTTTAGGAAAGCAATTTTTTTCCCCAAGTTTATCTTATCTTTAGTTCTTGTATTAAATTTTTCTTAAACTTCTACTAATTTTTAATCGATTCTTCTAATTTTATTTCTTCCTTTCTAATATGTATGCCTCTCATTTCACGTCATCTTGCAATAATCAAAACATCTTCAAGTAACAAAGAAGACAGCAGTCATCCATATTTTGTTGTTGCTACTAACAAAAATTACTCTTCCATTTCACCACTAAAATAATGTTGGTTGGTTGCTGATAAACATTCTTGATCATATTTAAAAATATCAACAAGTCTTACAATTTTTATCCTTTTAGTTCCTAACAGATTCATTTATTGTAAGACTACCAACACGTTTTTACTCACAACTATTAAAATTCTGTTTATATTATACCTTATTTGCTTCACACACAGTCCTCTCTGCTGATTTGAAATTATAATCCAAATAATGATATTCTGAATGTTCTGAATCTTTAGGAAGGAAACCTAAAATTGCTGTGGGGAAAAAAGCAGGTATCTTTATACAACAGTTTGTCCAATGTCAACTTTATAATGTTATATTTTAATTACATTGTACTTACAGTCATTTTCAATGGAGTCCGTATCAGACTGTGCTATCTTTTGAAAATTGTCTTCAATGTTAAAGCCAGTACCTCCTTTTAGAAAGTTTTCTTTATTTGGGAACTAGAAAACAGAGATCCATTTATCAGTTTATTTTGTAAAAAGAAAAGTGTATGTGTGTGTATACAGATATACATGTTGTTGTCGTTAGTTCCCGTTGAGTTGGTTCTGACTCATGGTGAACCCATGTGTGCAGAAGAGAACTGCTCCATAGGGTTTTCAAGGCTGTGACCTTTTGGAAGCAGATCTCCAGGCCTTACTACTGAGGAACATCTGGGTGGGTGTGAATTGTCAACTTTTTGGTTGGTAGTTCAGCACTTAGCCATTCGTACCACCCAGGGATCTACAGATATACAAACATATGTACATATATATTTACCACACACACACATACATGCAGTTTATAGTTAGAATTTTAAAAACTAAAAGAAATATGTATGAGGCCAGTTCTATTCAGGCAAAGCAGATTACATTATATTTCATCAATCCTTATAACACATTTTTTTGCATCTTAACATCTCTGATATAGGGATGCAACTTAAAAGTGATGGCATTTTCATGTCTATAGCCCAGGTGCTTGACTACTAGCCAAAAGGTTGAAGGTTTGAACCCACCCAGAAATGCCTCGGAGGACAGGTCTGGCACTCTGCTTCCAAAAGATCACGGCCTTGAAAACCCTATGGAGCAGTTCTACTCTGTACATATGGGGTCGTCATGAGTTGGAAGAATACCGACAGCAACAAATAACAACAACCTAGCCCAGGCAGCAGTTGTGAAATAGTTGCCATTGCTTCTGCATGTGTAAATATGTGCAATTATAGTCATACTGTTCATATAATAATCACTTAAATATACGTGTGTGTATTGTTAATATTAGACACGTTTTATAATTAGACGTAAACAGTAATTTTGCATTTAAATGTCCTCAAGATTACACTATGACTTAGCATTGCAATAAACTTGTTGTGTTCACAGAAAGGCGAGAAAACAGAGCAGTATGATATACAATAGAAAAATCTATGCCCAAATAAATCTAAAAGTGTTCTTTCAATAAACGTAAAATTAAAAGTCTAAGTAATAAAGCATTTTGTAATGGTTAATTGATCACTCTTCTTTCTAGTGGTATATAACATAATGGTATTTCTTATAATCAGTGCTAATCTGCTAAAAAAATACAGATTTTTTTAAATTCAAAGTCTGCTATGTACAAGCAATCTTGTATTTATTTAAAAAAAAACTTATTTCTGTTGGTAAGTCTAATCATTTTGCTTTAGAATATTTTTTATAGACTAGGATATAAACTAGATGAGTATAGATTGCAGAGCAATGTCAAAAAAATTTGTGTATAAATTTTTGAATGAAAAACTAATTTGCATCATAAACTTTCACCAAAAACACAACAAAATAAAAAAAAAAAGAAACCATGAGCATAATGAACTTACATGAAAATAATCAGAAATAAAACAAATGGACACAAGTTTCTTTTTCAATATAGAGTTTGTATTGGGCTCTCTACTTTAGTCTCCTCACAAAAAACACAGGAAATGAGAAATGGAAACAAACTCTACCTTTGACGAAACTAAGCCTGAATTATACATAATATTAAGAGGATGGAAAAATGGTATAGTAAGGAGGAAAGTCAAACCTACTGCAGGAGAGCCCGATAAGAAGTAAACTGATTTTCCCCAAAATCATGGAAAGACTCAGGAATCGGAGGCCACAGGTGCCACTGATACAGTGGGCTTAAAACATCTGATAGACGTTCCAGAAAGAGGGGAAAAAAACAAAAGAACGGAGAGGAAATTACCAAAGAAACAATAAAAAAAAAGTTTCATAAGACTGGTGGAATTGTACCTGAGAGAAGACAATACCCACTAAGTGCCCAGTACACAGTATTAATAAAATAATAATACTACGTATATATACTATGTATGATTTTATATAAAACGCACATCATTGTGAAACTTCAGAACACCAGGAATAAAGAAAATATGCTAAACACTTCTAGAGGGAGAAAGTATTGCTAAATTTAAATTAAAAAAGAAAAAGGCAAGGGAAAATGCAGAATAGAATTTTAAATTCTCATGGACTCTAGACTTCCTGCAGCCACTGAGGGAGGAGGAACCCCGGAAACTACTGTCCTGAGATAATCTTTAAACTTTAAACCAAAAATATCCCCTGAAATCATCTTAAAATCGACCAACAGTTTAGCTTAACTAGTAAAAAACGTCTGCCTTGCGCATTATGCTCTTTTAAGAACTACCTATATGGGGTCAAATTGACAACAGCACATCAAAAGATTAGGCAGGAATATTAGGGGGCAGTGAGTTTATGCTAATGAGGGAAGAACAACTCAGAAAAGCAGAGAGAATGGTTGCACAACTCAAAGAACGCAATCAATGTCACTAAATTGTACATGTGGAAACCATTCAAAAAAAGAAAATGCTGACAGATTGTGATAAATGTAACTAATGTCACTGAACAATTTGTGTGGAAACGCAAATGGGAACCTAACTTGCTGTGTAAATTTTCACCAAAAACTCAATAAAAGACTATAAAAAAGAAAAAGGAAGACCTTACTGAAATTCTATATCTTATCTAAAGTTTATTCTGTAAGAGCAGAATAAAAATATTTTCAACATGCAAAATCCACAAAAATACACCTCCCATGCTCCCTTTCTTAAGAGCTACTCAAGGATGCGCTCCAGCAAAACAAGAAGAAAAAACATAGTGTTCAAGATACAGACAATAGTGTTCAAGATACAGACAACCCAGGATAGGAAACGGCACTCCCAAGATGTCAACTATTAAGTGCAGACTGCAGCAGACAGATGCAGAACCTCAGAAGAGAGATCCCTAGGAAAGAAATGGAACTGACAAAAGTATCAGATACGTTTGTATGGACTACTGCATTGAAAAGTATTTTATACAGTTTTTGGAGGGTGTGGAAAAACTTAATCCCAATATTCAATGAAAACTAAGGAAATAGAAAATGAGACAATTATAAACTGAGAAAAAAAATTATAAGAGAAAGGAACTGTTTCATAGCATTCTACTTGCCTCAGCACTGAAAATATTAACACACAGCAGTGAAAATATTAACACATTTGTAATACTGAAAACATTGAATATAGATTTATCAAAAAATTGTGATACAGAGGAGGCGGGGCCAAGATGGTGGAGTAGTCAGATGCTTCTGGTGGACCCTCTTACAACAAAGACCCAAAAAAACAAGTCAATTGATTATATATGGCAATCTGGGAGCCCTGAACATCAAAGGCAGAGTTGAGGAACTGGACTGAGTGGCAGGGGGAGGGGGAGATGGTTCAGAAGCAGCAAGGAGTTGCCAGACCTGACCCGGCGAGAGCCTGAGCCCTTCAGGCCTGATCAGCTCAGGGGTGAGCAGTGAAGCAGGCAAGCGGCGATGCTCGGGAGGCGTGTTTTCCGCACCAGGAGAGACATAGCACCAGAGAGTCTACACAGCCACCCAGAACCAGTGAGAAGCAGCCCTGGAACAGTGAAACATAAGTACTTGCATACGGCCTACCGCGCGGATCAAAAACACCCCCCTTAGGGGAAAACCTCTCTCCCATTTACTACCCCACTCCCTGCTCTGCACTGGGTCCCAGAGGGGCTTCAGCAATTGCCAAGTCCCCTGGGCCAGAAGTAGGATCTGTCACACGCCCAGAGCGATTCTCCCTGCCTTGGAGAGTGAACTAATTAACAAACAGAGGAAAATAACTGCCGGCTCCCTTAAGCAAGGAACCCAGGGTAGGCAGAGCTCTTTGCCTAGGCACAGGCATAAAGGATCCACGGACTTTGACTGCCCTTCCCCCTGCATAGACTTGTGTGGGCCCATCTCAACAGTGTAGGCCCGCATTACCACAGTACAAAAGGGTATATACTAGAAGTCTACCTTCAACTGTTTCAGCTGTGAAGTGGCAGGTTCTTGACATTTGACACTGCTCTGCCCATTAACCAGGGTCTTCACCTACCCACATCAAGGGCCTGAGGACTGGTGGCTCCACCCACACCACCTAGCCACCTGCAACAGGGGCCCATGAATAAGAGGTGCCCCCTAGTCCTTACAGCTAACAGCATTAGCTGCTAACACTCTGGCTGCAAAACCCACCCACCTACACACTCTAGGGAACAGGGGCATACCTTCCCCCTGGACACTCAGGGGCAGCTGTCAGCAGCCTGCCTTGCTCAGAGTATGTCCCCCTGCTGCAGCCAGATACCTGTGCCTACACCAATCACCCACGCCTCTCTAGGACTCTAAGTGAGAGCCTACACTACACACTTGGGGGCTATCTACCTGGACACCTGAGCTGAATCCAAATAGGAGGAGTGGGTGGACTCCTGAGCTAACATACCTAGTAACAGATCTAACCACCTGGTGACAGGACATTAGAGCTTCAAAGTGCCAGTAATCAAACTAGCTCATATGAGGAACCTATTTGGGCATATCAAAACAAAACAAAACAAGAAGCTAGGACACAGTAAGCAAACATAAAATAAATAAATATAATAACTTATTGATGGCTCGGAGACAACAGTCAATATTAAATCACATAAAGAGGCAATCCATGATGGCTTCAGCAAGCTCCCAAAATAAAGAATCTAGACATTTTCCAGACAAAGAAAATTTCTTGGAACTACCAGAGGCAGGATACAAAAGATTAATATACATAACTCTTCAATAAATTAGGAAGGAAAATAAGCAAAACATAGAAGATGCAATAGAGGAAATTAAAAAGATTAGAGAAGGGCATAATGACAAACTCAACAGGCTGGAAGAATCCACAGAGAGACAGCAATCAGAAATCCATAAGATTAACAATAAAATTTCAGGATTAGACAACTCAATAGAAAGTCATGGGAGCAGAATTGAGGCAATGGAAGTCAGAATTAGTGAGACTGAAGATAAAGCACTTGACACCAACTTATTT